AAAAAAAAAAAAAAAAAAGCCCCAGGAAGATACTTGCTGGTGAGGTAGGCGTGGTGCTACTGTGCTAAATCCCCGGCTCTCTGTAGAGCTTTTGATAGTCAAAAATCTACCTATATACCTGGGCACAGTGGTACATTCCTATAATCCTAGCAGCTCAGGAGGTTGAGGCAGGAGGACTGCAAGCTCAAAGCCAGCCTAGGTAACTTGGCAGGACCCTCCCTTAAAATTTTAAAAACATCTTGGGGATGTAGCTCTATGAGTGGAGGGCCTAGGTTTAGCCCCCAACACTGAAAAGGTGGGGTGGGGGCACTGGTGTAGCCAGGTGGAGTGGACCTGTAGTCCCAGCTACGGAGGCTGAGGTAGAAGGGACACTTGGATTTTAAGAGCTGTATACAATATAATGTCATTCTCTCTTTTATAAAACAGCAAATTCCAGCACTTGGGAGGCTGAGGCGAAGGAGGGTAACTTCTAGGCCAGCCTAGGTTACATAGCCAGACCTTGTGTCAAAACAAAAACCAAACCAAACCAAACCATTGATTTAATGGGAAGTATAATTTCAAAAGTTAGTCCTAGGGCAAGGGATGTAGCTCATTGTTTGAATGCCCAAAAAACTTTGTGCTGATTTCTACTCTTAAATACAGCTAAGATGGGTGTGGGGGTGCCTACCTGTGATCCCAGCACTTGGAGGCTGAGGCAGGATCACTGTGAGTTCAGGTCCAGCCTGGGCTACATAGCAAGACTTTGTCTTAAGCAAACAAACCATCAAACAAACAAACAAACAAAAAATACAGGTATTACATTTGATCATTCTCTCCCAGGTTCTTTTTATATATGTGCTTTCTGGGTTTGATTAGTTGGTGGTTTTCCAGAACTGGGGAGCTGGGGGTTGAACCCAGGGTCTTTGCAATGAACTGTGTCTCAGCCCTGTTTTATTTATTTTGAGGCAGGATCTTGTCAGATTGCCCAGACTGGGTTCACACTTGTGATCTTCCTGCCTCAGCCTCCCAGAGTGCTGGGACTACAGGTGTGTGGCTTCACACCCAGCTATGCTTTCTGTTTTGATTTTATGCATAAAGCAACAAGTACTGTTGGCACCTCAGTGTCTCCCAGCTTTGTGGTGGCACTAGGGTAAACCTCACCTCCGATGCCAAGATGATGGAGCCTTGCCCACAGGTGTAGCTGGTTTTAGGACAGAAGAGTATCATTTTAGTGTTGAGTTTTTGAAACAAGCTATAAAACAAGAAAGAAATTTATTTTTTAACTTCCGACATTACTACTAGGAGAGGACCCAGAAATGAGTTTGGCTTTCCTGTCCCCAGACTTCTGTCATCCCTGTGCTGCTAAGATGGGCCTGAGTTCCTTCCCTGGGCCTCACTCCCCCTTACAGTGTACTCCCAGCAGAAAACCCAGGAAAAGCCAGTGGAGTGGAGCACTAAACTGCTGTTACCAGGAATGCTTTGGGATATGAGAAAAGGCTTCACAGTAGCTCAAATAAATGTAGGACTTACTTGTTTGTATCACCTTATGGGTCTAGCCGTGATTTCTTTGATTCTCATAGCCTTTTCTCTTATGGTTGAAAGATGTAGTTCTAGTTATCACAACCATATTTGGGGCAAGAAGGAAAGCTAATATTTCCCCAATTCCCCTGCACACTATCCCCTCACTGGCCAGCCTAGATCATGTGATCATCCCTACCTGCAAAGAAGCTTGGGGGACCCAGGGTAGTCATGGTTGGCTTGAATTAGCAGTCAACCTTTGCACTGGGCACACTACTGACCCTTATAACTTTGGGGTCCTTTTGAAAAGAGGGGGAAATTGGATGTGGGTTGGATGTGTCTATCAGACATCACCTACAATGAGAAAAGTTTGAAAGTGTAGCATTTAGCCAGTCATGGTGGTATATGCCTGAAATTCCAGTGCTCAGGGTGCTGAGGCAGGAAGATCGCCGTGAATTTGAGGCCAACCTGAGCTAGCTACATAGTGAGTTCAGAGCCAGGCTGGACTACACAGCAAGACCTTGTCTCAGGAGCGGGGGGAGGGCTGGGGATTTAGCTCAGTGGTTCTGCTGCCACCTGCCTTTTGATTACGAGGCCCCCAGTTTGATCCCCAGTACCAAAGTGGGGAAAAACACCAAAAAAGAGAGCAAGAAAGAAAAGCACTTGGTGGAGATGTTTATCCTAATCTCCTTAGCATAATAATCCTTGTGTTGAATGCTTAACAGAAAGATGTTCAACTTTTGAGTTACTTTCCAAACCGAATTGTGAGTGCATTTCTTCCAGGCCACTGTATCTCCCCTTCGGCTTGCTTTACATGTCTCAGTTTCTCAGCCCAGGGAATAAATACTGTGAAAAGAGGTGTTTTTTCTTCCTCATAATGTTATCCTATCGACTTAGCAGACTGAATTTCTTATTTTACTCCTCTGATGGTCTTTCCACCAACTCCCTGGCTCTCCTGCCCTCTTGTCTGAGCCCCTGCATCCACCCTGCCCTCCAGGTGCATGATACTCTGCCAGCTAGTTGAGAGTCTCGGGGTTACTTCCAGCACTCTACTAACCTTTCCTTTTTCTCTCTCCTCCTCCTTTTCCTCTCCTCCTCATCTTCCCTCCTCTCCATTCTGCTGCAGAGCGTCTCTACAGCCAGCTTGAGCGAAACCGCCTGCTTTCTAATGAGCTGAAGCTGACGCTGCATGATCTGTGTGACTGATGGGCAGGGCTCGCTGATGCCCAGTAAACCGAGCTCTGCTCACACCACTGACCTGGACCCCAGCAAAAGCTGATTGTCTTTTTCAAAGTTATTCTTTTGCCCTAAACAAGTTGTTTTTTGCTTGGGGCAGTTACAGTATTGTTGATTTCCTAATAGTACTGTAAAGTTGAAACAGTTAAATGCTGCATTTCTTCCCTTTATCAGAGATTACGGGGACAAAAGAAGGGGCCCGAGAGGTTATAGTGAGAAAGCTTGGGAGAATTTTCTGTTTTCCACCTTTTCACTTGTGCACTGACTATAGGATATGTTCCTTTGCATGGATGTTTTTCTAACAATAAAAAGACTGACTTGATAATACGTTGTAACTGCTTTATCTTCAGGCCCAGGAGTGGGCCCTTCTGACTGGGAGAAGAACAGGGGAAGGGAGAGAAGGGAGTGGGGTGTGAATTCGGGTCTGTGTCGCCTGTACCTCCGGGTTGGAGATCTAAGTGTTTTCCTTCCTCCCCTAGAGCAGCCAGTGGCTTGCTTGCAAAGCATCACAGATGTTCCTTGATGTGCAACCACTGGTTTCTTCCTAATAGTTTCTCTGTTGCTTCTTGATTTTACGTTTAATTGCAAGTAATTGCCACAGGCTAGTTCTGATGAATGGCTCTGAAAAAAATCTCAAAGTTTGGTTCACAAGTGCGTATGTTTGGTAGTACTCTTGGCTTTGTTTTTGGAGATGTTTTGGCATAGCCGTGAGGGCTCGTTTATTTGTCTGACTGGCTATTCCTTTCTCATCTACTTTATGGAGCAGCATGCAGTGAGTGCATGAGGCTCTTCCTGAACTCTTTTCAAGTTGAGCTCCACCCGTCCTTGTTTGCGGTGGCCATCCTCCAGTGAGCTGTCTCAAGTAGGCCCTGTCCTGGGACCAAAGCCCAGAAGAATCCGTGGCTGGAGCTTCAGGCCTGTGCTTCTAGTGACTGAAAGCCAGAAGCCATGGCTGGGTGTGGGAGGTCGAGGAAGTGATTGATAAAGGTTCTCTGCTCCCTTGTGCAGGGGGTACAGCCACTCTGCAGCTTCAGTAGTCAAGCCAGAGGCCCTGCAGAACCTCAGTGATGCAGTTGCTCACTTATGTGGTTGAGAAGGCACTGTTCTGTTAGTCTGCAGTTCTGCTGCAACAGGAGCAAGTCTCAGAGTGGGCAGTCCTTGAAATTCACCTTTTGTAACTTCTCTCCTTTACCCCATTAGATAAGCTGAAATGCACCAAGGAGGAGCAGCTCTGTACACAAAGGATGCTGGACCAGACTCTGCTGGACCTGAATGAGATGTAGAGCTCCCCAGGCCCGCCCTGCCGCTGCTCCTCCCTCTGACCCGACTCCGCCTGAGGCCCACCTGCCTGAGGCTGACCTCGAAACTGAGGGCTGACCTTTAACTGGAAGGCTGCTTTCTCCTTTCTACATTCTCTCTCCCCACCCTACCTTACCCGAGCCCCTTGTCTTTTTCATCAAACTGTCTCTGCCTCTTCTCAGATTCCGGCTGGGCTAGAGGCTGAGCACCTTTGGGAACAACATCCAAGGGAATGTGAGCGCAGTGCGAAGTGTCTTTAAAAGCATGTTGTCACGTACACATTTGTAATACCGTTTTTGTTGTAGCAACCATTTGTAAAACATTCCCAATAATTCCACAGCTCCACAGCAGCAATCTTAATTCCTCTGTCACTTTGGAAAGTAACTTTTTGGCCGAATGCGTAGTGCCCTCTCCACAGAGGAGGAAAAGAAATATGGGCATCTCCCTCACCAGGAGCCAAACAGCCCAGGGACTGTCACTTTGGAAGGTAACTTTTTGGCCGAATGCGTAGTGCCCTCTCCACAGAGGAGGAAAAGAAATATGGGCATCTCCCTCACCAGGAGCCAAACAGCCCAGGGAAAGACTCCATCGTAGAAAAACCTCACTACTCTGCACCAAGTACCAGCCAAACCAGGAAGGTGATCCCAGGAGGAGTTAGCAAAAAAAAAAAAAAACCCTCGCTGCTCAGGTTTTGAGCTTTAAGATGTCTTTGGACAACTATTTTTATTTGTTAATTTTTTCAACAGAAGTGAGCAGATTAAGATGATGAGACCTCTTAGACTTTTTTCTTTTTCTTTTAGTGATGTGTAGGGGATTGAACCCAGGGAGGGCCTCATGTATGTTAGGCAAGAGCTCTTCCACTGAGCCCATCCCTGGCCCCGAGACCAGATTTTTGTCCCTTTTCTGCCCCCTTCCCAGCTGCTCCCTGTATGGATCATGTGTCCCTCCCTTAATGTTGAGGTGACCAATTAATTGCTTTCTGCCTCATTGAAAGAAAAGAAAAATGATGTTTTTGCCACTGACTCAGCCATGACATTCATCTCACCCTTTGCTGGGTCTGAAGCTGCTGTCTCTGAAAGTGCCATCTTATTGTGCTTTCTATCAGTCAGTGCTGGAGAAATCTTGAATAGCTTATGTACAAAACTTTTAAAATTTTATATTATTTTGAAATTTTACTTCTTTTAAGGTTGGTGTGCACGGCTACTCCATCTGGCTGTGAAAGCTCGCTAGAGTCTGTGGGCTGGCAGTGTGCTGATCTTTTGAAGTTTTTTCCGCACCCAGCCCCCACTTTTAGGAGAGGTTTCTGTGAGGTCTGTTGGTTATACATCCTGCTGCTTATTGGCTTAAAATGTATGCTCCTTTGTTGTGGTCTATCTTTGGGGCCAGTCAGGAGAAAGAAGGACCAGTAGTGCAACTGTTTTGATACTGAATATTATTGCCAAGTGTCTTTTTGAAATAAAGAACCAGTCCCTCTAAACTAGTCAGATCTACTTGACTTATTTATATCAAACCAAAAATGCTTTCTCCACAGGAGTTAGGGAAGTTTCAGATCTTTGTAGATGGCAAGAGGATTTAATGTATAGCATACACTTTGGAAGCAGAACAAAACCAAGTTCAAAACCCAGTTCTTAGGTTCCTACTTGTATGTCCTGATGGTAAATCATTAGTACCACCGTCTATAAACTGGAGATGACCCCCATAAATTACTTAGTAAACATTGATATCTTCAGGCTTTTTTTTTGAGATGGAGTCTCACTGTGTAGTCCAGGCTGGTCTTGAACTTGCAGGGATCCTCCTGCCTCATCCTGTACTAGGATTATAGGTGTGCACCACCATGCCCAGCCACATTTTTTTTTTTTTTTTTTTTTTTTTTTTGCAACCATGTGAATTCAAGTGGTTTCACAGCATTTGCTTAGAGGCAGGCCATGCTGAGTGGATGGCTTTCAAAGCTGCCTTTGAGATGCCAGTATCTGGCATTTCCTGCATTCTGGCCCTAGAGCAGGACAGGAATCTGATTTCCTAGTGAAAATTTCTGAGCTCCCTTGACAAAGTCCAGTTGTTTAGACTAGACTGGGAATTTTTCCCTTTATAGGCATAGGCGACTGCCGACTGGAAATTACTGCACTGCCGTACGTTGTCTTTTTAACCTGAAAGCTACAGAAGTAGACAATGATTTGAAGCTGAGGAAGGACCAGGGACGTAGCTCAGTGAGCCCGCTTCTGCCTTGCAAGCACAAGGTCCTGAGTTCGATCTCTGGCACCAAGAGAAGAACAAAAAATAAGTCAAATGGAGCTGAGAGAATTTGGGGGTTTTTGTTTTTCAGGTGTTTCGTCCTGCTTGGTACTTATTTAAAAAAAAAACACCTTACACTTCATGTTTAGGAAAGTAGCCCTTTAAATGAGTAGATAGGGCTGAGGTGGTACACGTCTGTAATCCCAGCACCTAGAAGGCTGAGGCAGGAGGATTGCCGCGAGTTAGTTCGAGAGCAGCCTGGACTCAAAATCAAAAGAGTAGGTAGGTCCCTGAAATGCGTATCATGTGTCTTGCTGAAGGATTTTACGACCAGAATTCCCACAATTCAGAGCGTGGCCCCGCCTCCCGTGGCGTTGTGCCTGGGGATTGGCCGCTTTTGGCGCCGGGGCGTGGCTGTGGTTGAGAGCGAACTGAAAAGGGACGTCGCCATGGCCCACGCTGAGGCACTAGGTCCTCGACGCTCGAGCTTGCGGCTCTGTTTACCTGTACTCGGTCTCCTGTGGCTCTTGTGTTTGTTTGAGACCCAGGCCAACAAGCTCAACGTGCCACAGGTGTTGCTGCCCTTCGGCCGGGAGTCGGGCCCTGTGCCCTTCCTGCTGGAGGCCCAGCGGGGCTGCTACGTCTGGTGAGGGGCGGGACGGCCAGGCGGCGCGGG